TCCATTGCGGCAGGGCAGCAGCAGGGGCTGGTTTTCCTTTCTTCCCTCCTTCCAGTCAGCAGTGCCGCTGTCCAGGGCTGTTTCCTTCTGGCCACCAGCCCCGTCCTCAGCCCTTCTTAAACCCTGGAGGAACCGCCCCCGTGCACACCGGCCCCGGGGCCTCCACAGCTTCCAGCCTGAGGGGTATTTCCAGAGGGAGTTTTCTGATTTTCTTTGAAGTTCGGCTCTTGCAACATACCCCGACAAGGGTCGAGCCAGCAGCCCCAAACCTGGAAGAGCCCTTGACCCTAAGGGTGCCTGTGTGGCTACAGGGGCCCCCATCACCCCACCAGGCAGCCCAGCATGGGCACCTGCACCCCAGGATGTGATGAGATCCAGCTCCGTCCCTAGTTCTTACAGCTCTGCCATCGCCACAGATCCCCCCAGCACCAACTGCTGGGATGAGCCCAGGGCTGCTGGGGACAAGTGGCTGTGGGAAGGACCCAAGAGTGGGGCCAGAGCCCATGGCCAGTCCTGCTGCTGAGCGCATTTATTCCCAGGACAAGGTGTTTTCAGGGATGGAAACACATGTTCCTGGGAGGGTTGGTCTTGTGCTACTGATGGAGAAAATGTTAGAACACAGAAGGTGTTGAACAAGGCCCTGTCACAGCCTCAGTGCCTGGTCTCAGTCTCATGGTAGGTCTGGCATTGCTTCCTTGCTCCTGCCCAGCTCCTGGGGCAGAGATGGGTCTGGCTCTGCCCCATCCCATCCTGCCAGGCTGTGGCTGAGGCTGGGACAGATACCGAAGGGCCAAGGGAGGGCCATGCCCAGCCCTGCACCTCCTGCCATCACATACCCAACTGTTTCCCATGTGGGAACTCTCCAGAGGCAACTCCAGGCACTGGGCATGCCGCACATCCTTTCGGGAGGTTGGGTCATTAATCCTCCAAAGGTCCAGGCCACCAGGCAAGGGAAGTGCTCCATAAACACCCACCACCAAATGTGCACACTCAGCTGAAGCAGGTGATTAATGGCCCTGGGGTTTTTGTTCCTTCCATCCTGTGTTATCAGACTCGCTTCCCGGAGTTTCCAGCAGCCGCCGGAGCCCCTAGCCCAGCCCTGCCACGGGACACGCTGTGACCAGAGCTGCTGCACCGCCAGGCTCTTCCCAGCAATGAGACTGGGAACCTTGGGGAAACACACGTGGTGCCAGGGCTTCACCTCCCCTCACAGCCCTGACTGTGGGGCCAATGCGGTAAGAAAACCCATAGATCAGTGTCCGAGCCAGAGCCAAGCACTTACGGTGTGACCTCTTAAGAAGCAGCTTTCCTTGACCTCAGGAGATGAGCAGTTACCAGAAAGCCTAGTGCCTCATGCTGCCCTTCCTGCAGATGGGGGCTTGGAGCTGCCCTGGCCTCCCACATGGGTGTGTGGCAGAGGAACTTGGAGCTATGGAAACACCTCTGGCTCCGTGAGAGCCATCGGGCCAGGGGGAGGTCAGGGGACTTGGTCCAGCTTGGAGCTACATGGCAGAGCCCTTGGGGCAGCTCTTGCTCACCAAGCCCCGAGCAGAGACCCACTGCAGCCTCTCCCCAGTGGACTCAGACCTTCCCCCCAGCCCAGAGGGGCACAGAGGTCCTGCTTCCCTGGGCACAGCCGAGAGAGGTCAAGAGGCTGCGTGCACAGGGTGGAAGGAGCAAGCTTAGACGCCGGGACAGTTTTCCACCCAACAGGAAACCTTTGAAGGAACGAAGGGAGTGATGGCTTTCAAGATTCAGAAGCCTGAACACCTTTCCTGGAAGGCAACTGTGCTTCCTCCCCCAGGGCAGGAGCAGGGGCTCATTCCAGGCAGGACATTGCTCTGGAGCTGTTGCTCAGGAAGCAAAACAGCTCAGCATGGAGACACAAACCACCGGATACCCCCAGAGCCCCCCGGGCTGGGCTCTAATCCCAGGCTGCCACCACTGACGCCAGAAGGGATGAGGCTTCACCACTGCCCCCGGGACCACCACGGGGAAGAGCAGCCAACAATGTCCTGTACTGCAACACCTTCCCTTTGTTCTCCTCAAGCGAGAGAAGCTGAGGGTTCCCTCTGAACTAGAGATGAGAACAATAAAATAACAGCTCCAGTCCAGAGGAAATAAATACAGCAGCAACAGGCTGTGTAATGGCTCATGTTTCCAGCTCCTGACAGGATATGGGCCATCAAGCACCAGCTCCCATCCCAGAGCTGACAGTGATATTTACACTTCTCGGGATTATATTGTTCACTCGGGACCATCCTCAGCCACAAGAAGTGTTTAAATGAGTCAAATAAGATCTAAATTAAGCCTAGCTGGAAATTAAGACAATAAAAGAGTCAGGGCTGCTAAAAACCAGGCTGGGAGGAGGCAGGTAAGGAGCCAGGGACCTGCTCTCCCTCCTGGTCTGGGGCAGGGACAGTCAGCCCTGATCCAGCTCACCCAAAGCTGCCCCAAACCTTCACACAGTTCTCCCAGGTCAGGCCAAGGGCTGGGCAGGGCCTGCCTGGTGCTGCCAGTGAGGGAGGGGGACGAGGACAGACACCTTCGACACCACAGGAAAGCAGCAGTTTAATAAATAATCCATCAGAGGGAGAGATTAGCCAGTTCCAAACACAACCTGAACTGAAATAAATACATTTCACCCTTAGCTTAAAAAAAGACACAGAAACGCAGGCGATGGTGAACTGTGAGAGAGCAGCACTGGGAACAGGGAGTCATCCCATGCCCACGCTCGAGATACCAAAGCTGTCAGCAGCCAGTTGAGTGCAGAGAGAGTAAAAACAGGGGAGTAAAAAGTTACAACTTTGCAAAATTAATGGCAAGAGAGAAAGCAATGGTGTAAACTCAGGTTTTTAATGCAACAAGATCAGCTGAAACTCACTTGACCTGCAGCTATCAGTGCTGGGACTGCAGACAGGGGATTGGGTCGAGTGTTGCCCTGTGTTTGGGCACTGCTGTTGCCATCCCAAGTGGGAAATCCCTGCAGACAAACCTTGGCAACTCCGATGTTGCACGGCCAGGCTCAGGCACTGCACAGCGCACCAGGGCAGGTTTAAGAAAAGGGTCTTTAAAAAGTTGCACTTTCACGTAAAGTAACAAAACTTGGCAACACTATCTGAACGCTCCACACAACCTTTGAGCCTCCACGCCGTACACTGCACCAGTCCCAGCCCCTCAGAACCAGACGTTCTTCATTCGGCTTTGGCACAGCTCTGGCACCGCTTGGCACAGCTCCTGCTCCATCACGTCAAGGCAGAACGGTGTGTGCTCCCAGCCCTGCGCCAAGGGGAGGGCACCAACCCCCCTAGCCAGGGAGAGGAACCCAAAGGGGTGCAGGAATCCCTGCCTGCTCCCAGCACCCTGTGCCCAGAGAGCCTCCGGCCCGGGCAAGGGCTGTGCACTGGCACAAACCTCCTTTCTGTTAGTGGATTCCCACTGCTGCCCAGAGCCATCCCCTCCTGGCAACATGGCCAGGACACAGCCCCTGAGCTGGCAGACACCTGTGGCAGCACCTGGCCCTGAGCTCGGGGCTGGCAAAGGGACCAGAACACCCGAGGCCCACGACACACGAGCTGGGCCACCTTGGCATCGCCACCTCAGGGATCGTGTTGTGAGGGACAGGACTGGGGGGAAACTCCTGGATAGTTCTGTGGGCTGAGGGGAGGGAGAGGCTGCAGGCAGCAGCAGCTGTGAGAGGGAATGGGACCAGAGACACATGGGTTTCAATAAACTATGCAGGAAGGGAAAGGACCTTTAAAAATATATCTCTATATACTTTATATCGTATAAATTATGCTCATCTTTTTGTACCATGCTGCTATATTGTACCCGTGAAGCTCTGAGTGAGCAAGGTAACAATTCCATGCTTTGCTCCATCTGTGAGAGGGAAAATCTACTTCAGCTCACTCTAATCCAGTGTAAACCAACAGATCACCAGGGCTTGGTAAACATCCTGTCTAAAAAAGGCATTTTTGTGAGGAACACGGGGGGGGGGGAATTGCTGCCTGGAAGTGCAAGTGATTGGATTTCCTTCAGGAAAAAAGCCTACCATGCATACACAGCACTGACCATCCCGGCAACGTTTGGGAATTGGGAGTGTCACCACAAGGAGTCTGGGAACAGTGGAGTCACGGCAGGCCCTGCTGGCTCTGCTCCCCAGCCCTGCAGCCAGACCCAGCTCAGCACCCTGCGCGTCTGCTCGGACCACAGGACCTAGAGCTGAGTGCAGGACCTGGCCCAGGCCAGGCCAGTGCACAACAAACTATCAGCTCTCTCACTTTAATGTCCACCTCCAACCACCAACTGGACCAGAGAACTGGAAAACAGGCTCTGCGCTACCAGCACAGCCCAGGCTGGGCAGGCAGCAGGTCCTGGCTCTCAGTGAAATCACTGTCCAGCCCCAATGCCAACAGGCTGGACACAGCCTGCAGCTCCTGGGCAGAGCAGGGATGGGCAGCACTGCCCTGCGTGTGCCAGCCAGGTCAGGGACTGAGCTCCCAGGGCTGTCCAGGGATGTTTTCCATTAATTCCAGAGGCAAACAGCACTTGCAGTCACTGCTGCACAGCCACGATGAAGGCGAAGGGACAGTATTCCCTCCTTCTGGCTGCTCTCCCTGGCTCCCCTGTCCCTACCCCAGCCAGGGAACAGCCACCAGCCACACCCCCCACGCTGTGGCAGGACTGGTTTGGCTGCTGCACCCTCAACTGCCTTAACAACCAGTTCCTGAAGCGTCACCAGTTTGGGCTTTACTTCCCAGCAACTGCTCATTGACATGACTTTTGATTTATTCCAAGGAGAACAATTGTTTCCTGACCTCTGCCCTAGCTTTACAAACAACCACACGTTCTGTTTGCCTCTGCTCCTCTCACAACACTCCCAGCACCTCCTGCTCTTTCTGGGCAGAGCTGAGCCTGCAGCAGAGGCTGCAATTCCACTGTTCCACAAATAAAAGCCTTCACAGCAGGCTTGGAAATGCCACATGGAATCCAAACCTTTAAGTCCAAATCAACGCAACCCTCACCATCAGGATCCCTCGGGCTGAGAACAAACCAGATCTGGACATCCTCTGGGTGTAAGATCAGGCAGCAGGAGCCCAGGGACAAACCAACATGCTTTATACAAGTGCTCAAGGTAAACAGCCATTTCTCTCACTCTTCTCCCAGGGAACCACAATGCTCTGAAATGCTTGGCACAGTTCAGTTGTTTCTCCAACCTCCCAGAGAACTGCACCTC